GAGCAGCTCGTTCGGTCGTGCGCGCATCTGTCCGAGATTCTTTTGTCCCCTATGACCCATCAGACATCTGCACCTCCGGATGCGGGAGGACAGCCACCTGCATCATGAGGGACCCCACTCACCCAGCACACACACTTGTTGCTCCGCTCCTCTCGGGAGGGAGGTTGAGGAGCATTAAGTGTAGAACCACTAGACTGAGGAACTGCTTCTACCCTGAGGCTGTTAGACTCATTAATCTCTAATCAGAATAATCACTGTGAAAAATCACATCATGTTGCTGCTGATCTGTTTCATGTTGCTGCTGATCTGTTTCATGTTGATGTGTTCATGCATGCTCATCTGCTCACACAGACTCATGTTCATGTTTGTGCTGATGTTCGACATGATGTTTTGTGTTATTAGTGCTTAGTGTATATTTAGTTGATGTTTTTCTTAGTTCATATCTTAGATGTTATTGTTGTTTTTCTTTTACATTTTATTGTTGGATGTAATTGGGAGCCTGTGTACATAATTTTGCTCCACCACATGTACCACATGAGGTGCGATTGACAATAAAGAATCTCTGACTCTGAACTTGCAATAGAAGAAATGAAAGCTGGTAAAACAGCAGAGTCAGATGGACTCCCAATAGATTTATATAAGAAATATAAAAGTAAATTATTTGCTCCCCTACTAGATATGTTTAATCAAGCTTTTAAATCTGACAGTCTCCCCCCTGCATTAAATATGACCATGATCACACTTCAACCAAAACTAGGTAAGCCATCCAATAAATGTTAACATTTCAGACCAGTTAGCTTATTAAATTCAGATTTGAAAATTACTGCAAAACTATTGGCTAAGCGTCTTCAAAAAATACTACCAAGTATAATTAAACAGGATCAAAATGGTTTCATCAGAGGGAGACAGGGTTTTCACAATGTAAGGAAAGTGTTAAATGTAATACACAGCAATAACGGAGCTGCAGATAAAGCCCTTCTATCATTAGATGTTGAGAAGGCATTCGATAGAGTGGAATGGATATATCTTTTTAAGGTGCTGGAGAAAGTTGGATGTGGGCAACATTTTATTAAATGAATAAAATTTTGTACAATAACCGCACTGCAGAAATAAGAACTAATAGGATTATCTCTAAACCAATAGAAATAAAAATAGGCTGCAGACAAGGTTGTCCCCTTTCCCCTTTGTTGTTTATTTTAGCCATTGAACCCCTGGCTATCGCAATACGCTCACACCCTCGCCTTGCTGGTATTAAAGTTGGACCAGTTGAACATAGAATATCATTATTCACTGATAATGTTATTTTGTTTGTTTCAAAGCTCCACAAATCTTTACAATGTATACTTGACATAACTGCATCATTCAGTGAGATATCGAGATATAAAATAAATAAGACAAAATCCTCAATTTTATTACTAAATGCAGTTGATGGAATGACTCCAATCCTAGAGGCATTACAATTTAAAGTAGTAACACAATTTGAGTACCTGGGAATACAAATTCTACCAGATCTCAAACAAGTTGTTGAATCGAATTACATTATTATAAAGGAAGCAAATGACTGCATTGATAGATGGATGCCCTTAACTACATCCATGATAGGGAGGATAAATATAATTAAAATGAACGTACTGCCTAAATTTATCTGTGTTCCAGAATGGTCCCCTCTCACCTCCTACTGGGATATTTCAGCAAATCAGGAAGATGTTAATATGATTTATATGGAAAAATAAAAGATCTAGAATTAGATTAACTTTAATGCACTTGCCATACAACTGCGGAAGTCTAAGATGTCCAGATTTTCAGATATACTATTGGGCTATACAATTGAGATTTATAATAATAATAATAATAATAATAATAATAATAATAATAATAATAAT